CGCAGTGGGGCCTCTTGTACTAACACCAATTACGGAAATGAGTGGAAGATTACCAGTGACACATGGAGCGAATATTGTCTTCATGATCGCAGCAATAGTTTGCGCATCCAGTATCAATATCTCCATGCTCATTGTTTCTCGGCTAATCATGGGGATTGCCAGCTCAGTGCCGGTAACAGTTGGAGGAGGTTTTGTCGCTGATATGATGCCCATGGAAAGACGGGGAACTGCAATGACAATATGGACCGTGGGACCCTTGCTTGTACGTGTATCTGGTTATCTGGTCTGTCCTATGTCCGAAGTTACTAACTCTAATTATAGGGTTTTGTGATTGGTCCTATCTTCGGAGGCTACATGGTAGAGAATGTGGGATGGCGATGGACTGTGTGGCTTGAGGCAATACAGGTAAGCTCCTGTTTCTATACTTGTGCTCAAACAAAGCAAAACTGACACTGTGATAGGGAGGGTTCATTGTGATTGCATCACTGGTATTTCTCCGTGAGACATATGCGCCAACAATACTACGACGTGAAGCAATGAGGCTCCAAAAGGCCACCGGGCAGCAATATCATACCAAGTTCGACTCTGAAAGCACAGCTGGCCAGATGCTGTTGACATCTTTAACGCGACCAATCAAATTCCTCTTTTTGTCGCCTATTGTCCTGATAGTATCCCTCTACAGTGCCGTCACTTACAGCTATATGTACGTTCTTTTCACTACCTTCACCGACGTCTTCGAGAATGTCTACGGTTTCAGCCCGGGTCAGGCAGGCCTTGGATACCTAGGCCTTGGCATGGGTTTCTGCGTCGGACAGATCACAATTGGCTACTACTCCGATCGACATGTCAAAAAGCAGGAAAAGATCCACGGCAAGATGAAGCCAGAGCACCGGCTTCCACCTCTTGTCCTTGGATGTTTTCTGGTCCCGATCGGTCTATTCTGGTACGGCTGGTCCGCACAGTATAGGCTTCATTGGATTGTCCCCATTATCGGGACCTTCTTCATCGGTGCGGGAATCTTCTATGTACACCTCGTTACTCAGGTGTATCTTGTTGATTCATATACCCTCTACGCTGCCAGTGCTGTCTCCGCCGAGCTAGCCTTGCGGTGCGTTTTTGGAGCCACTATCCCATTAGCCGGGACACCCTTGTACGATACACTCGGTCTAGGCTGGGGAAACACCCTCCTTGGTTTTATTGCGCTTGCTTTTGCACCGACATCGTTCTTCTTACTGAAATATGGGGAGAGCATCCGGACTAACCCCAAATTCATGCCCAAGATGACATAATCTTTTTCTCTCCTTTGCCACAGGTGGCTTCTGGCCTTTTTGGTTGATCCTATGGGCATTTCTTGCATATAATTGGCGTTCGTCTTGATGTGATATGACATAGAGCATTTGGTTTCGAAATTAGACCAAGCTGTGTTTAGCGATAAGCTTGATCCTACTGTTTATTGTTATTTTCTATTTGTTATGGGCTACTTTCACGCAACATATGAGCGACTGAAGCGAGTCTCTTAAGATATTTTGCCTAGCTTTCTCCCAAGGATCATCCAGAGTGCATACTATCATTACATGACAAGTCTCTGACAAACTGTTTGAAACAATATTACCTCATCCACAGACAAGAGATACTTTTGTATGCTTGGTGGATCCAATAAAAATGCAGACCCCAATAGTTTACAAGAGTTTCTGGAATGTGTCCAATCTTCCCAATCCAACCACTACATATGTACGTACGTGTTAAGCCACTCACTTAAGAATATAGAACATCTACCACTAATAATTCGTCAATATATTCCCCTGATCATCATTGTTCTCACGGTACAAAGTAAGCTCATACTTCCCGATAAGTTAAGCTCTGATGACACGCTTGGCAAACCCGGTTATGACATGTAATATGTACGAAATAGTAAATCATTACGTGAGAGTGGCTAGGCTCTAGTTATACTCGGCAGTGGCTGGATACTAGGGGTGAGCCACGCCACCAGGTACCTATTGAAGGGAGGTATGGGTTTACTGTGGAGCAACGTGCAGACTTAATGAATATCATACTGGTCTTTCCAAACAGGGTCTGACTTATCGCCTTCCTTGTTTGTATGCGTGACAAATCTGTTTTTCAGGCATTCCGCGGGACATGTACATATGTATGTACTTTGTACATTTGATAGGATACTATCCCGGACACACTGTCATCCTGTTTCTTAGTACCGCCAAGAGTATATTTTTTGCATATAATGTATGTCTTGCACACTTTATGCAGTCCGCGTCATCTCATGGTTCAGAACGCAATAAATTCCTCGGGATCCCTTCCCGGTTACCTGCCCTGCGGCTAAGTTTACCTATTTTTGGAAGTCCTGTGGACAAAGGCTGAGGTTCCATTGGCTCTAAGTTGTTGATATTGATATTTTGTACAGTTTAGTAATGGTTGATTCTGGCGCTCTTTCCTCTCTGGTAAAACTAATCAAAGTATTTACTATTACAGGCCATGTTTTGAGCAGTTAGACGTTTTATGTGCGGCATATGTAGGTATGTTCTGATTTCAAAATAGAACATGAATCAAGGCCTAACAAGGATACAATTTTTATCACGATTCTAAGACCCCGTGTACGATGGATTTATTTCTATAGATATTCTCCTCCTTGGCCCCGGGGGTGGGGATCCCTAGAAGAAGGATTATCCGATCTAGCCTCTCATATAAAAGTTGAAACAGACTTATACACATTGACCTTCAACCAAAAGGTGTATGGAGCCCGGATGATCAAAATCATGAACTGTATCGTTGTAGACTAATATCATACCGTGTAGAATTTTCCTTAATAATAATACTATACCGGCTTTATTACTATGGTATACCGTATGGAAGTGGTGAGAATGTGGTAGGTTTGTTCGTTGACTTATATTCTGCCAATTTGATAAAGCTTGACGCCTTTCCTTCTCCATTTTATTCGATGGCATAGAAAGAGATACATTCAACCTTGAGGTTCAAGATCTATGAGCTAGGTACAGGCGGTGGCATTGTCACAGTGGCCCTGTTCCGTCCCACGGACATTCTTTTCGCACTCTGCCACAGTACAGAGTAAAAATACCATAGCTACATAAGTATACGGAGTAAGTATACACAGAACAGAACTACCGGGTAGCTTCTAGAGTGTCTCGCACTAGCACTAAGGTCGGTATAAGAGAAGGAGATGGATCGCTGCACGAGCCATGGCAAGCGAAGAGGCACGGACCGGTCTAAAATCGCAATTTATAAGCGCAATAATGACCAGGTCAATATGTCGATATTCTCTCGGATCAACTTCGGATCTACACTTTTGGCCAAGATAACTCACCACATACCCGATTCTAGCCTCTCTCATTTAAATTGTCACCGTTGATCAGTGACAGATTATTAAGGTAGATTATGCCAGCTTTATAAAAGTAGACTACTTAGTAGTTAAGTTTCCTAATTCTTCAATTTTTGTATTATTACTCAGATAGATTAAAGTAATAATATTATTCTCCACTAATTCAATTATTCACTAATTATTATTATATCTCGGGGTATTCCTTACACTATCTCGTCTATGTGGATGAGTCTGGGTGCGATGTGGTGGCATCTGTATTGTATAGCAAAGTTCAATCCAATCAAATATTATAATTTAGGAAGGTTGTGATCACGGACGGTCAGACCGTCCTTTAGATTTTGTCACTTTTGGAGTGCGGATGACTGTTGAAGCGGACTCATTATGGAGGGGTTTTACTATCACCGGCGACGCGCTAACTGCGCAGTACATCATTATCAAAGACAGATATTTCACCAGGAATGCATAGGAAAGAGGGTTAAGAGCCAGAGTTCTCCTTCGTCAATTTGAGGACTACTCATAATGGCCTCGGAAACCGCATCTATCACGGCCATTAACACAACCCCCTACCTCTTGATCTGAGGAGATTCGTCGTTGCCCCCAGTGTCATCTGGATTCAACTTTACCTATCCATCTTCACGTCCGATATAGCAGAGTCACTTTCCTCTATAATATATCCTCAATCCCGGCGAACTATCCTAAGTAACTAGCTTCTATTACAGAGGATACCTCCCGACGTTTATAGACTACACTGGGGGCAAAACCAACACACTAGATTTTATTACGCGCTATATGGCTATTAAGAGAGACATATCTCAACAATTGGCCGGCTGGCCCAATGGCAAGGCGCTTGACTACGAATCAAGAGATTGCAGGTTCGATCCCTGCGTCGGTCAGTTCTTTTTGGTTTTCTCTGGATCAGAGATCCATACCTTTTTTCTTCTTTAACACTTTTGGTTTGGTGATCCACAGTGAAAACTCGACCCTAATGCTGTGGATCTTCAGGCCAAGCTTTTTTGCCGACGTTGCCGGACGGCACTATGATTGGCCAACCATAGCTAAGTATGTCAACCACCTTTAAATATCACGAGGTGTTTTCATGAGGCACGAGACGAGGTAGAGAGGACGAATAATATAGAGGGTATCGTCTCTAGAATGTGTTACACTAGACTTTCTATCCTATTTATGTGAATCACTATAACCTACTGTTATGTGTCTACATATAGACCCCAAGTAATCAGTATATATATATAACAATCATCAACTTGAAATCACATCCTAAATCAATTCCAACCCTCCAAATGATAGAGTACCAAGATAAATAAAACTCCAAAGTAAGCAGGAAAAAAAGGTTCAGAAAAACGCCAACACGTCAACCCAAAAGACACCATACCGAAAATGAAGATCAACAAAGGGCGCGAGAGATGAACAAGGAATGAAGGGATGAGACAACCCTCGCTCCAAGTAATTATTATATGAACGGGAAACACCAAAAATGCCCCCAACTCTGGTCTTTCCAGTCCCGAAAACGCTTGCATTCCATCTCGGCTGATACCTCTGGATACGAAAACGTATGTCATTTCTCTGATATCCGCCGTCTGTCGAAGGAGTTACTAATAAGCCGTGTTAGTTTCTTTGATCAGACTCGTTCAAGATGAAGCTCTCCATTACGGTTCTTTCTCTATTTCTCGCGGCTTCAATGGCTATGCCGGCTCCTGTATGTTTCTTTCTTTTTTTTTTTCTTTCTTTCTCTCTTTCTTTCGACTTGGCTGGCTGGATCTTGGTTCTCAAACTTGGGGGTGTGGTTGAATGTTGAAGTGCTAATGGAGTATACACGCAGTCGAACCAGATCCGCGATGGAATTCAGTTTGACAGTGAGCATGGTTTACTGAGTGACATACCTGGTTTGCTAAAGACAGCAAAGGACAGTGTCCATATTGCTGATAGCAAGCCGGCCGCGCCGGAAGGTCCCACGACAGCGGGCAAATAGGGGAAGATGGGTTCTCATATTTAATTGTATCTCGTTCTTTTATAGATTGGTATAAGATGTACACCGTTGTTCAGACGTGGTCAACACAATGACTGTCATTCTTCATGCTTCGTAATTCATGGTTATGGCTAACATCACTATAATAAAAACATTGCATCGTATCGTAACAGGTCGAGTCTTCGTCGAATAAAGTTCCATAACAACATGCCATCAGTAGACGAGAGAGACCTTAATTCGGTCCTTGAAAATCAAACATTAAACGATTGTGTGGGGTATCCCTGGGTGAGAAAAATTAAAGTAGCAACACCGATCCTAATCCTCCATGAAGTCGTCCACCTCCACTCTGGTTCCCAATGCCTGCTTTCCTTCTTTGATCATGGCCTGCAGCTGTCGATTCAAACGGGCCAGGCTCGCGTCTTCCTCACGCTCCATACGACGCTTCTGGGCCATGTAACGCTGCGTCTCCACGGAGACCGGGGTTTCACGCGGCTTCGCCGGCGCCGCGAAGTGCGATTTGGTCGTTATCGATGCTGGTTGCGATACGAAAGTCCGCTTCACCGGCTGTCGTCGACGCAAATGGCCATGCGAGGACGTCCGGCGATGGACTCGTCTTCGGGCCGATGGACTCGCCTCATAGCCGAACTCATCACGGCCCACCACAACCCAGTTGTGATGCAGGTCGTCATCATGATGATCGTCGGAAAAGGGAGTCGGCTCAGCCCAACCATGAGTACCGGCAGATGCGGAGGACAGATCATGTTTTTCCGTCGTTGGCTGCCACGAGTGGTCATCAGGACCCAGCGATACCGACGGATCACCAGCCGTCATCGAATACCCGCGACCACCACCGGCGTAGAATCCGCGGAAGGCTCCCGACCAGCAAAAGTCCCAGACCTTTCCTACCACGTCCAAAACCGCGCGGCTCCAGCGCACAGGGGCGGTTTGCGGATAGTAGCTGTTGTCCTGAGTGACCTTCTCATCCTCCGGTCCTGACGGGGATGGTGCTACTACTGATGATGGATCCCGACGGCTGCGTTTGCGACGAGCCCCGGACGCATCGCTGAGTGATTCCACGCTAGAATCCAGAGGGAGCCTCAGCGGCGGGTCTCGATAGCGACTGGGTCGGTAGTCATGCTCGGCGGAGACGTCGTCTACTCCGGCGAGACGATCATCGGCGACAGTGAAGGAGGTGGGACTGGACGGAGAATCGAGCCATGAACGATGCCCGGACTCCACTCCCCGCGCTCTCTTGCGGCTGGGGATGGAGATGGAGCGAAAAAGGGCCGACGAGGCGGAGGGATTCGGCGGCAGGAAGAGCTGCGAGGGAGCACCAGCAAGATCAAGTTGGGGAGGGATGGGCGAGTCGAGAACGAAGGAACTGGTGGGCATCTCTTTCCCCTTGTCAAGTAACGTATTGCACTTTATTTTTATTTTCCTTCTTCTTTTTTACTTATATTTTCTCGAGGGTTAAATGTAGGAAAAGAATGGTTGAAGAGTATACAAGAGCAAGGTAAGCGTTGGGTGAGTGAAAAACGAGCAAAGAATTTAGTCCATGAATAAAGGAAGAAAATACGGGGGGCGGGATTAATTAGTTCGATTTTCCCATCCATTCACTTGTTCTCACCGCAGCAACAACCTTTTGCCATCCACTCATTAAGTCACTAATTCACTAATTAACTTTTTTTTTTTTTTTTTCAAGCCTCTTAATTCTACTACTAGTCTAACATGGCTTGGTTCATGTGCCATGGCCAATGGATTCTATCCATTCAGCAGGACATGTGAGCTCTTGCAATGACCCAAGCCTTATTGGTCCACCGCTACTTTCGAAGACGTTCTCTAGAACAATGAAAACGAATGCATCTTAGTTTCATATTGAGAGAGTCTTCCATGCGATGATATTCACTGGTGGCTGATTAGACCTCCGTGGTACTAGTGGAGCTGACAGAGACCTATACTATATACATGCTGTTTTGAAGGGCATCTAGATGCCAGGCCATTTGTCGGAGAGAGCACGGAGAGAGCACGGAGAGAGCACACCGCTTCTCTGGATAGATCACCTTTGAACGGTCTTACAGCTTTTGGCTTGTCCACTGCACTCCTGCAGCCTCCAATCCTTCTTCGCCATCCACCAAGACGCACCAGCCTTCACTTCCCGCTCCCCCATCGCCCGCGATCACAGCCGGAAAGTGCTTGCGCGCGAATTCCAGGACCGCATCATCAAATGTTCCGGGCTGCAACCACACAGCCGGAATCCCCACTGCATGAGCCTCCTGGAGCAATGGCAGAGTGACTGCTGGCGCGGTGACAACCGACAAGGATGTCTGCGAAGGCGCAGTCAAGGCGCGGGGTGATGCGACCGTATCGTAGGCATGAGAGGGCAGTTCAATCTTCGGTGCGCGGGGATTGAGAGGAGTGACAGGTAGGGAATGCTGGTGATACCATGCGAGGACTATTTCATAGTTATAGCGTTACTTAACGATCGATTAAAGTCGGGGGATTTATATTCCTACTCTTGTAACCAAACTTGTTACTGTCGTTGCTTGCGCCTGCGACGGCAAAGCGCGGGGAAGAGAAGAAACGCTTGACGGCCTCCATATTGGCTGTGACTGTAAAAAAGGTGATGAGAATGGTAAGAAAATAACTGAATAGACCGAAGAGAAGAAAACACAGATCACAGATGAGTACAAAGGAGAGAAGAGGATGACGAGAGTAAAAAGGTGGGGAAGTTGTTCCGGGGAATCAATCTAGATTTATTCAATTGATTGATTTGATCATTGGATCCTCGGCTGTCTAACTGACTTATCGTTATCACTGACAACTCCGCAACTTCTTGTGAAATTACATACAATCTTTCATCTTTCTCGTCCCCCACCAAACTCGCTCGTTTCGCCTCTCATATTGCACTCGCTTTACGAAATAATCCTACTTGAATTCTTCGTATGCCCCCCTTCGTCCCCCGTAAGCGACTTTCCTCCACGGATCCGCCCAGTGCCAAACGCCACAATGCGACAGCTACTCCCAGTGTCGACATCGCCGCCATCGATGACGAATCAGACTCCCCATTAAGCGACATTCCCAGTGAAGCTACTCTTCAGGACCAGGAAACCAAAGATGGGCCCAGTGACGAATCAGATTCAGACGATGATGAAGTGGATTGGGAAGATGCAATGGAATCGAAGGCAACCACCGCCACAGCGACCACTCCTTCGATGACACCTGCCCACGTCCAAGATCTGGAGCTGACTCTCGACAAAAACGAGGTTCATCTGTCCGATATTATCGACGGGAAGAAAGCTCCGTCCAAAATTGAACGCCAAATCCGGGTTCTGACCCACTGCCTACATGTCCAGTTTTTGCTCCACCACAACGCTCTCCGAAATGCTTGGGCAAACGATTCCCAGGTCCACGATATCCTACGTCGCAAGCTACCTGCTGCCCTTCATAAAGAGGTAAAAAAGTGGGAAGTGTCTTCTGGCCTAGAGCTTCCAGAAAAGCCCCCGGAAGAGACTACCAAGAAGAAGAAAGGGAAGCAGCGTCGCAAATCGGAGAGAGACTGGGGCGAGGCCTCATCGCGGATGGAACCTGGTCAGCCAGATATGAGCCGTGGAGATCCCATTATCACGTTACTCAAGGTCTTGGCCGCCTATTGGAAGAAACAATTCAAGATCACCGCCCCGGGACTACGAAAGCGTGGCTATCGGCCTATGTCCCACCTTGAGGCTGACATATCCGCCTTTAATAAGGAAGAACACGACCCTGAGAGATTTGGGGAGAAAGTCTCCGGCCTCGATGAGTTTCGACAGGCTGCAGAGCGTATGGAAGGGTCCCGCGACCTGGGTGCTCAGCTGTTTACTGCACTACTCCGCGCGCTCTCGATTGAAGCTCGGCTCGTCGCCAGTCTTCAGCCTTTAGGGTTTGGTTGGACCAAGGTGGAGACATACACGCAGAAAGCCAAGGTTGAGTCAGAAGCCCAAACTGAGAGTGGGGAAACCGAGGATGCCATGGACGTAGATACCGATGACAGCGACTTAGACCAGAAGCCCGCGGGCAGTAGAAATAATCCCAAGGGGTATGACAAGGATCTTCCAGTGCCGATTTATTGGACAGAAGTTGCGTCTCCAGTTACCCACCAGATCATTCCTGTCGACCCACTAGTGCTACCGAATGCTGTAGCGACAACACCAGAGCTCCAGGCCGCATTTGAGCCTCGAGGGGCTAAAGCTGAGAAAGCGAAGCAAGTGATTTGTTATGTGGTAGCATACTCGTCCGATAAGACGGCAAAAGATGTCACCACACGGTATCTCCGTCGGCGCACCTGGCCTGGCAAGACGAAGGGCTATCGAATGCCAGTAGAAAAGATCCCCGTGCCCGGCCGGAGAGGAAAGTTCCACGAGTACAACTGGTTTCGGGTCATCCTCCGAATCTACGAGCGTTCACCAAAAAGCCGGACAGCGGTCGACAACCTTGAGGATGCGAACGACCTGGTACCAAATCAACCTGAGAAAAAGGCTGCCAAGGAAGGCGACACGCTCCAAAGCCTCAAGGCCTCAACCGAGTTCGTCCTAGAACGCTTCCTCCGTCGCGAAGAAGCCCTAAAACCAGGTTCGAAGCACGTCCGCACCTTCGTGACCGGAAAAGGCACCAAAGCCAAGGAAGAGAAGATCTACCGACGAGCCGACGTCCTAAAATGCCTCTCCGCCGAGAGCTGGCACAAAGAAGGCAGACAGATCAAGAAAGGTGAAGCGCCACTAAAACGAGTACCCATCCGCGCCGTAACGCTCCTCCGCAAGCGCGAAGTCGACGAGCTCGAGCGTGAAACCGGCGAAAAGCCCAAACAGGGCCTCTACGCCAAATACCAAACAGAATACATCATTCCGCCACCCATCCGCAATGGCATCGTCCCCAAAAACGACTACGGCAACATCGACTGCTTCGTCCCAAGCATGGTGCCCCGTGGTGCCACACACATCCCCTGGCCCGGTACCGTGCGCATTTGCAAAAAACTCGGCATCGACTACGCCGAAGCCGTCACGGGCTTCGAATTCGGTTCCAAGATGGCCGTCCCCGTCATCGAAGGCGTCGTTATAGCAGCAGAAAACGAAGACCTAGTCAAGGACGCCTGGCGCGCTGACGCCGCAGAAAAGCGCGAAAAGGAGCGCCGCAAAGCCGAAGCGCGCATCCTTCAAACCTGGAGGAAATTCCTCTTCGGTCTGCGCATCGCCGAGCGTGTCCGCGAAGAATACGGCGAATCTTCCCGCGACGATGAGAGAGACGCATATAACCCGTTCACAAGCCGTAAATCAGGTCAACAGGCCCCTACACCGGACCCTCGCATCCGAGAACCATCAGAGGAGGGAGACCTAGTTGACCGCGGTGGAGGCTTCCTTCTTCCCGGTGAAGATGGCGGCGATGATGGTGATCTCATCGTCGAGAGACACCACCCTTCGCAACCTGAACGTGAACATGAGGCTGCTGCTGCTGCTGAACCGGATGATACAGGGGCCATGGAAAGGGAGATCCCTGATACCAGTTCCGTTCATGAACTTTCTTCTTCGCCGGAGGTACCGGATTCTGACGAGCAGCTTTCTGATTCGGAGCCTGAGTATGTACCTCCTACCACACGGAGGCGGACTCGGAATGCGGCGCGGAAGGGTTGATGCCCCCTTTCATCCCGTTTTCTTTGCACCGTATGTTTAGTATCTTGTATTCTTGGAATCATGCTTGTAACTATGTAATAACGGAGTTAGGGTATCATCAGCCATGGCCACGGATTTAGGGTAGGAGTTAAAAAATAAATTTGAGATACAGGAATTAATGATAATTTACTGGTATACTGTCTTGTATATATGTGTATAAGTATCTTTAAATTATTCCACTAAATAAAGCAGATAGACTATAGGGGTATACTGTCTATATGGCTATGCTGTATAAGATTCAAGAGAACTGTACAAGGTGATCAGCAACGGGGCAGTTACCTGCGCCGTTTTGACAGGGGTGAATCCAAGCCATAGGCCTCATTCATCTCCAATCTAGAATCCATGTCCATGCCGAGATCGAAATCTTCTACCGGACTTACGTGTACTGCTGGCGAAGAGATGGGGCTATGGGCGACTCGTGGCCGGGACTTGAAGACACTGGCGTAGTCTGCCTCTTCTTCGAACAGTTCATCGCGCGGTGTGGATGCTCTGCTAATTTCGGGGGTGTGCCTCTCGGGCAGTTCAAATTGATTCACGGGGAAGGAGGGCCTCCCGCGGCGAGGTCGAAGACTCTCTCTAGGCCGTGGGTTACTTGGCGGAGGAGGAACTAACGACATAGATTTCCGGGTCCGTTCAATCAGATTATATGTGTTGCGTTCCTTGCGCTGGGCGGGTTTGAACTCTAGATCAGACGAGAGTTGCAGCGAGGGTGAGCTGGATCGACCTATAGCATCATCCGCTTCAGATGTAACACTGCCCGAGGGTGGGCTCTTGGCGGTGGCATCTTGCTGAACCAATTCAGGGGATGACGTAATACTTGAGGACGGTGATTCATGCCCAGCCATACGACGGTCTGCATCAACTACGGGGGCATGTAATGGAGTGGCTCGTGAAGATGAGCGGTGCGTGCCTTCGATTCGCGCAAGTGCTTCCGTCATGGAGAAGAGGAGTGCGCGATCGTCTGCTTTAGGGGAAATGCGTTCCACTGGCTCTCGAACAGCCTTGGCGATGCTGGCGACAGTGAGTGCCTGGTGGTCTCGGAACGCCAAGGGAGGACTCTTTATTGAGTTCATCGATTCCGCCCGCTCGTGCCTCAGTATCGAACTGTGATATTGATGCCATCTCTGCAAGCGGGCACGTTGTCTCGTGATGCGTGTCTCCAAGTCGATCAAAAGATCCGGAGCAGAGTTTCTCTTAAGATCATCTACCGTAGACACCTTTGCTTTGGACCATGCTGTTGAGAAAGGCAGTTCTAGAAACGCATCGCTGCTACTTCGGGCACCTCCATATAGCAGAGTGCCGGCCCAATCCGCATTGCTCAGACAATTAGCCTTGACCTTCTGTGCCAATTCGTCAAAGTCAGCCTCGTCCGCAATCTGGGGACGTTCTTCCTGGGATTGAACTTCTAGTTGACTCTTTTTGTAATCCAACAGTTGCGAGAACCTTTCATGCGTATCCCGTACCCGGCTGCGACGCTCTCCCACCTCTCTCAAGGAGACGCGATGCGCGAGAATGAGGGGTAGCATGCGTTGATATTCTTGTTGAGTCAATCCTGAGGCCATTGACAACTTCATAGCGGGGATCACAAGTCCTTCATCCGCCGAGGCGGCCAGAGCTTTACGGAGAACTACGGTCGAAAACACCGCAAGAAGCTCGTCAAATTTCTCCCCTTTGCAGTCATCGAGCATTGACTTCCGCAAAATAATCTCTTTTCCTAAGTCTCCATTCTTCTTCAACTCGGACAACACACGAAACAGGGCGGCGCGCAAATTGACTGACTGCAATGGCTCCAGTGGAGGAAAGAAAGGCCGGAGTTTCTAGCGTATTATGTCAGTCGGAATGCCACACACGCGAGGTTAAAAGCACACATACATCCCGAGCGGTTTCCGGGTCCCAGAGTGCCACTAATTGGTAGAGTGCCCATTCGATGACTTTGACACGCTGGCGCTGGTTCTGCGATGAGGATGATAAAGAGCGAACTGTAATGCCCGGCCAGTCGTCACGGAAGTCTAGCTGCAGCAGCTGGAGGTTCCGGACAAAGACAGCCACGGGTGGTTGCGGCGTCCAATCCGGCCTTTTCGACCGAGAGGGAGGTCGCGGCGACTGCATATTTACGAGATACTGAAGCGGTCAGCAACGTCTCCTGGAGACAAAGAACTGGAGAAAGGGGGGTGTATACCAGCGATCCTCAGTCCGCACAGGCGGTAGTGCCATAGACAATGACGTTTAAAAGAACCGGATCATAGATGCTAGAACTGATCTGGAATAGCAGTGGGTGGGGAGATCGCGAGAAGATTAAATGAAAGTAAGTGGTTTGCGGGGACGACAGATTGAGTGCCAATCATGTGCTTGTTTATATTGTTTATCAAGTTGGTTATCAGTCGCCCTCACCGCCTTCTTCTTTTTCTCTTTCCCCCCGCAGAATCTCCCCCTCAGTTTTTTTGGCCTTCGTTCTTTCCCCTCTCTCTCAGTCAGTCTTTCGTTCAAGCATATAAGGCCCTTCTCTCCTCCGTTTTTATACATCGAGTTTAATCTTTGCATTTCTTTCTTTACACCGTTTCAAACATCATCATAATGGGCTCTGAAACACCGTCTAATGCCCTCTGGACCACGCAGTCCGGTAAGAGGAATTCTGCAATGATGCCCAGAGACCGTAAACAAAAGCTAACAGATCGAACCAGTGCTGGCCACCCTTCCTCACCCCCCTGAGGAGAACTCCGCTTCTCCGATTCCGTTCTTCCACCTTCTTGAGCGCCTGAAGACCACCAAGAGGGAAGGCTGGCGCCGCTTCGGTATCACCGCAGGCGAATCGATCTCGGACCATATGTACCGTATGTCGGTGATGACGATGCTCGCCCCGCCTTCGCTCGCCCCACGGCTCAACCTGCCTCATTGCATGAAGATGGCTCTCATTCACGACATGGCGGAATCGTTGGTTGGCGACATCACCCCAGTGGACAACGTTGACAAGAAAGAGAAGGCACGCCGCGAGGCCGACGTGATGAATTATATCACCAAGAACCTGCTGGGAGGTGTTCCCGGTGGAATGTTGACCGGAGATGAGGTCATGAAGGTGTTCCAGGAGTATGAGGATAACGAGACATTGGAAGCCAAGTACGTCCACGATATCGACAAGATGGAGCTTCTCCTGCAGATGGTCGAATACGAACGTACCCACGATCTCGATCTGTCTGAGTTCTGCCATGTTGCGAACCGTGTCCAGCTACCGGAGATCAAGGAATGGGCGGCGACGGTACTCCAGGAGCGGGAAGCTTTCTGGAAGAAGAAGGCTGCCAATGGAGTTCAGGCATAAGAGTGTGAATCATTGATGGGAGTAATATACTTTCGGTTGATATTCCTTTCGGGTTATGTTTAATGGTGTCGATGCCTCACGAGTTATCTATCTTTTTTCTCGGTTTTATTATTATTATTATTATTTTTATCATCATGCATACCACTAGACAGTTGAAGGCGTTTGGATGGGCCCATGATTAGATTATATACCATCGACGATCGATGAGTCTTGTCACATACACATTGAAAGTACGCAAAGTGTAACTTAAGCTCAATCACAAACCAACATAGAATCCGCGAAAAAAAGAGAGAAAAAAACAAGGTATCTCACGCAAATAACAGTAAAGAAAAAAAGGTCTATCCATCTATACATACAACACACCAACTCAATCAACCTCCTCCACCTCCATCTCCTTCGCCAACATCCTCGCCTCCGCCTGCATATCCTCCATACTCCTCGGCCTCCTCTCCTCATTATCAACGGCCGGAAATCTCGTCATCCTCTGCCGATAATGCCTCCCTAAGTCCCCCTCCTCCCCATCTAGCATATCATAAACCGCATCCGTCCCTCCCCGGGCATCCAAATCCGCCTTCTTCCTCGGGATAATATGCGCATGCACATGCGGCACGCTCTGTCCCGCCTCTACGCCATCCTGCACCGCAATGTTGAGACTACTTGCGCCATAGACGCGCTCCACCATGCGGCCCACACGGCGGACAGTCAGGAAGAGGTCTGTTGTTTCGGAGGGGGTGAGGTCGGAGACGCGGGGGACGACGCGGCGCGGGGAGACGAGAACGTGGCCTGGGAGGATGGGTTTGAGGTTGACGAGGGCGAAGGACAGGGGGGTTATGTGGAAGACCTGGGTTTTTGTAGGATCGGTTAGTGTTTTTGAGGGGGATCGGGGGGGGGGGGGGGGTTGTATGTTCCTGGAGGAGGGAGGGGAGCTTTTTTATTTACTTACCTGAGATGTGACGACGAATGGACCGAAGTGGATCGGTCCTTTAACGGCGAGAGCCATTGTGGATGGGGAGTCTTCGGTGGGCATGTAAAGGTAGGTTTTTTGGTTGGCGAGTTTATGAGGGTTTCTTATGACTAAAAAGGGGACAATTTGACTGTGAAATGGTTGTTGAGGTGTTCGAAAGTTGGAGGCGGCGGCGTCATTGTTTATGACCGGTCGAGTGGATCTCGGACAAGTCCATGAAGCTACATTCAACGGAACAACACCGCATTTGTTTACGAATAGCTACCGATTCAGTATAGGCAATGGGTATCATTAATCACTCGGATACGCGAATTCATATATTACATATCAGTAACCTTCCTCATCCAGTTTGTCGGTAAAAAAAAGAAAGAAATAACAACGTCATCGATGCGAGGCATGATAGTGATGCAAGGCATATTACAATCGTAGTATAGACACATGGCATGGCATCAGAAGGAAATGAGTATAGGGTTCTGTTGAATGCAAGATTTACGTCTCTTTCGCCGGCTCAGACACTGCTTCAGCTTCTTGATCGGTTGTCTGTTTTATCTCTGCCCCTGGTTCTAATTTCGGGACCTCCTCGGTTGAGGCTGTTTCGGGCTCATCCTTCTGCGCATCGCTTCCCTCGGTGCTAGGCTTTGATTCCCCCTGTTCGATTTTCTTGGTATCTGCGTCAACTGCTTGTGGAGCTGCCTCCGTCTCTTCATCATCTTGTACTTCTGCAACGGTAATTTGTGACTCGGTGCTACCAATCGGCGCTTGTTCGCTAGAGGTCTTGGTTTCTTCACTGACAGCTTCCACGGGTGGCTGAGGTTCTGGTTCCTTCTGTGCCTGTTCTGCCGCCTTTTCGGTTTGTTGCTGTTTTGGCTGCTGCTCGTCATCCTCGGCGCTTTCGCTGATGGTCGTGACATCGCGGATAGTTGTAACCCGAGAACTTGTTGACGGGGTATTCTTGTGACGTCTCGTGGTCGCCGACGGTGGCTCTTGCAGTGTGGCAGCCAGCGGACCTTCATCCTCCTTCCGCAGTATTGTCATTCGACGCCCGTCCATCTGCTCCTCTGCCGGTTGAACGGGATCGGCGCCCTCCGCCTCAGCCGGAACGGTGTAATTGTCTTCTGGTATCAGGCTGTATAGATCACAGACCGTCTTGAAAAAGATATACAGCCCATCGTGGCCTTCGACCTGCCAAAACACCTCCCGATGTTGAAACCAAGCGTGCGCAAAGATGCGATAGAGGCGGCGGAAGATGTTGGTCAAATGTCTCATGCTCGCCTGTGGACCACCACCTGCCTCCGAGCCTAGTGTAAGACGGCTAGGGAAGTACTTGGGTGATGTGAGGATGTTGGTTGCCCAATCTAGGGTGTGGCAAGAATAGTCGATAGCACAGCACGATTTAGGCGGATCGTGGACGGCACAGAGATACTGCCATTCTGACGCTCGCATTTCTGGGCATGTCTGTGCGGAGCAAGGGGGGTTTTCGGCGAAGAAGGCAATGATCAGATTGTTTACTTTCATTGTTAGGAAGCGGCAAAGCTCATAGAGCCAAAGCGACCGGTCAACGCCCTCCGGGGGCTCTGCAAGCTGGATGGCAACCTCCCGGTTGATCGGGACGACAGTGTCAGATCCCTCGGGTCGGGTGTAGTGGTTATAGAGGGCTTTAAGGTGCTCTTGAAGCTGAAAGGAAGAATCGAGCTTTGGGGGAGGCCTAGTCAGCGGAGGTGCGGCGCAATCTGCTCTTGTTTACATACCTGAGAGAGAGGGACCAGAGGCGGGCCAACTGCCATATCGACAGATTTGGTCCCTGGTCGAATTCTCCGAGTTGAACCACCGTCAGCTCCATGGGAAGCACCTAGTAGCTGTTCTGCATCCTGACCAAACGACTCGCCGACCGACGGCGATTTGGGGCCGATCTGAACCTCTGTAAACGGAGGAGGACTGGGTAGGCGCGGGGAGCTAGCCTGAGAAGCTCCCGCAGCAGCCATGTCTAGACAATTGCAGAGCTTGAGGTGATATAAAAGAATGAATTAAGAAAGAGAAAAAAAGAACTGAACGAAAGTTAAAATGAAGGGAAGAAAAACAAGCTGTTAAGGAGAGATGGAGAAGGCGCTTAGGCCAAGCGGAGCTTCTGGAAGGAGTGACGGGAGGGAGACGGAGATTCCACCGGCGGAGCTCATGACTAGACAGTGCCCTAAGCCCTAGCTAATCCTCTCTGGGTAACGTCATTCCGTCAATCAGATCATCTACTGTATTTCCCCATACTTCGGGAATCTCTCGTGGAGCGACCGGATAACCTGATTCATCATGTCAGATATAGAAGATGAAGAAGCCCCTCCAGCGCTGGTAGATGTCTCTCAGCTCCCAGATGCGGAACAGCAAGAGGCGGCTAACACCTCATCCGCGGAGGCCCCGTCGGAGAGTCGGGTGCCTATTACGCTTGTAACCGGTATGAGTTCGATGTATATACTTCTAGGGACTGCCAGCTGACAGCTTGTCAAGGGTATCTTGGCGCAGGAAAAACTACACTGTTAAATTATATTCTCAATGAAAAACATGGCAAGAAGATCGCCGTGATAATGAATGGTTGGTGTCCTAGATCTGTCATGCGATCATCACTAAAAAATTGTAGAGTTCGGTGACTGTAAGTCATATAGAATGGAAACGCATAGCGGGCAAGAATATGTAGACCGCTGGGGGACCAGTGCTTACGCTAATACGTAATTAAGCCACGGACATCGAGAAGCCATTGACGGTAAACCAGGATGGCCAAGAAGTCACCGAGTGGATGGAAGTCGGAAATGGATGCATCTGCTGCTCAGTCAAGTAAGTTGTTCACACGCCGTATATCAATACGACTGACCAAAGACAAATAGAGACTCTGGCGTAATGGCCATCGAGTCCCTCATGGAGCGCCGAGGAACCTTCGACTACATCCTGCTGGAAACAACCGGCCTTGCCGACCCAGGCAATATCGCTCCTGTATTCTGGGTCGACGATAATCTCGGCAGCTCCATCTACCTAGATGGAATCGTCACTCTTGTCGACGCGAAGAATATTCTACATCTTCTAGATGAGCCGACTCCTGAGGAGACAGTGTCCAGTCACGAAAAAGAACAAGGCCATGACCATGCTCATTCGGGACCCGTACTATCCATGGCCCACATGCAAATTTCGCATGCGGACGTGATCATCCTGAATAAGGCCGATCTTGTTACTCCAGAGGAACTCGATAAAGTCCGAGATCGAGTGCAAGCCATCAACAGTGTCGCTAAGATCCATGTAACGGATCACAGCAAGACACCCCAGATTGAAGGCGTTGTGTTGGATCTGCATGCCTACGATCATTTGGCTAGTCTGGATTTTGGCGAGAAGGGACATAGCCATATTGACCCGGTAAGTCGTTCTTCTTGATCGGGCTTTCCCCCCTCAACTCGAGGATCTAACCAGTTCAGTTTTACCAGGCCATCTCTACAATCGCAATAACAACCCCACCCATCCCATCTGAGAAGATTCCGCTCGTGGATGCCTGGCTCCGCTCCGTCCTTTGGGACTCTTCTCTTCCCTCTGTGGAATCTCAATCTGAGTCTCAGTCTCATCCAGCTGATTTCGATATTCACCGCCTCAAGGGCATATTGATCACAAATGATGACTCCAGTAGGGTTATTCAAGCTGTCCGAGACGTATTCGAGATTAGGGATGCCGAGCCAACGTCATCTGATGAAGGCCAGAAGCAATGTAAGATTGTTCTCATTGGCCGAGGACTTGGGCCAGATGCACAGCCGTGGCAAAGGAGCTTTGAGGCCTTCCTGGAGAGGGATGAGTAGTACGGGTCAATAGCGGGAACATAGAGTGGATGAGGCGTGCTGTATGGTGTAGAGTGTCGGGATTCCAGAATATGACGATGAAGGTCCATGTGAACAAAGTAGAGCTATGATGAGTTGAATAGAGTCGATTAGACTCGTGTAGCAATGCCGTCTAGGCTAAGGCTGTCTCGTGTCCAGTAAAATGAATTACATCAGTCAAGACTTTCCAGTTTGGAATTCCTAAACCGAGATTGAACGTACCAAATCTTTTATTGAATTAATACAGCCATGGCCATGAGGGACTTTCACCGGTGTCAATCAATATACATAAACTTCTTTCAATAACAAGTAGCCCGGCCATTTGAATGTCATCATATCATTCGTGAGAACAAGGAAAAATAAAACGAAAACTGTTTCTGCTTTTAACGAAAGAAGACGAGGTGGGTTCGACCCGGCAATTTTATAGCAGAGGAAAAGGAATGAAATCGAGAGACCCGAAAGCGAAAATAGGAAGAAAGAAGAAAAAGAAAAAAAATAAAACTCAAATAACAAAAATCAACAAACTCCAGTTTCGCCGACATGCTCGCTGTTGCAGTTATAAACGATGAATCAAAAAGCCACGCCAAATAAGTATCTATACAGCGCAAAAGCGTGGGAAATGGGTATCGCGCACTGCTTTGCCCCATTTTGGGACCGCAAATCACAATAACAACCTGAGTCTGGATCAAGAAGCGGGTGCTCTTTTGCTTATCACAAATGTCACCTTGCAGTGACACTGAATTTCCGTCATACGGAGGTCAGAGCTTTATTTTGAAAATGCCGGATTTATGGGTAAATGCGAATCGCTCAGGTAAGGCGTGTTTTGGAGAATCTGCCGAGGATATCCTAATGCCGACCGAACGGTCAAGGGAGAAAAGCGTTCTGCATTACCCTCTATCAATTTTGATTCTGGCAAGCTGAGGGCAGGATTAATAGGTAATATGGAATGCAACAGGGAGGATACCGAACGTGAAGGCATCTGGCTGGACCAGTCCTGATCACGGATCAGTGCATGGCCTAAATCTGGCACAGTTGCCGCGTACGGGTCGGTAGATTGGGTTGCCGCAGATAAAGGGGATTCTCCACAGTTCGCAGAGTCTGGGGACAGTTTCTTTGTAGAGCTTGGCCCAAACGAGCAGGCTGGATGGCTGCCAACGCCTGCAAGGGACCCAGATAAAGTGTCAGCCTCCAATGGCAGTAAGTTTGCTGCCCGATCCAGAGAAATATCACGATAGTGAGGATCGAGATCCGCGTCGAGATCAATTTCGTTGTCTCTGTCCCCTTGAGTAGACAGGTATGTACGTGTCTGGTCACTCCCCAGGTTTGTCGGGAACGGTGTTGGAGCGGTAGATGCTGTTAGATCTATATAGTTCCCCAAGCTGTGAGCACTCGGCCTGATGTTGGCTTCTAGAGGCTTGCTGTCTCGCCTTTCTCTAGTCCTGCCTCGTTGCTCTTCTTCTTCAAATCCTGCAAGAGGATTTGGGTCAAGACATTGCGGATCGTACCCACCGTCCGGTGATACCGGAGCATTGAGATGCCATCCCGTGCTATCTACAGGCCCAGCATGATGATTTAAGAAAGTTCCCGGAGCCGCAATGACTCGGTGGTTATATAATGGCAAAGCACCATTATTCAGCCCTATCCCATGGCTCATATGTCGCGGATACATCAAGGGAGGAGGCTGCTCCGTTTGTATATATTCGCGCGGGAAAAAGTTTAAAAGTTCCTTGGCTGATAGCCGGTCTCGAGGCCTTGAGCTCAAGCAGACGGCCACCAGCCTTCGATAGTAATCTGGTATATCCACGTCTGGACCCAGTATTAATGGATGAGGTTGCCGTTCGGGTTCATCCTCTTCCATCGCCAGCGCCCATAGCGTCATTCCTAGCTGGTAAAGATCTGTCTTGACTCCGATATACATGGAGATCCGCTGGTTGCTTTCAATCTTCGCAGCAATTTCAGGAGGCTCCCATCCTACAGGGCAGCCTCGTCGGTTGATATCTATGATTTGGGCATCATCGTTGGCATCCACCACAATATTCGACAGAGTAAAGTCCCCCTGCACATAGCCAGCCTCGTGGATCTCACAAAGACCCCGAACAATTTGTTTCGCCCAGCGCTCCCGTTGTTCCCATGAGATTGTACCTCGGTGCTCGTACAGAATATCAACTAACGCCCCCTTCTCCGCGAAACTGATGAGCAGGCCCTTGACCACTTCTTCGTGTTCGTCGACGACCACTCCTTCCACCTGCACAACGTTCGGGATTTCTTGCAATGCATGGAGCGCGTTGATCTCGTATAAAAACTCATCCACCGTGTCAGGGCCGGGAATCTCCTTTTTAATGTAAGACTTCCCATTCAACCGTACATTGTACACAAATCCCGACAAGTGCGCCTCAAAGTGCAGCTGATCCTCTCGGACAAGTCGAGAGTCGGGCAAGTGGCCAATGCAGGATATAGGTGGGTATGGGATGATCTCGTTAACGTCTTCCGTTACGTGTACGTGCAATCGGCCATCTCGAGTTTCCAACTTCAGATTCGTGACCGTGTCGTAGAATTGGATTTCAGTTAATGACTCGCGGATTGATTCATAGATCCGGGCGCATTTGTCTCGTTGGTAGCGTAGTTCCTTCAGGTCTTGCTCAAGCGAATCGGGAGGGGCGCCGCGATAGTCGCAGGAGATGGTAACCCTTCGCCACCGATTGGGCGTCTCTGCATATGTGACGAAGAACTTTTCACGCTCGGAGCGGTCGCGAAAGTGCATGCTCAAATTCAAAATCCACCGTTTCTCCAACTCCATCTCGATGATATCCTCGGGCGGCTCTTCGGGGGCTTCCGTCATAGCTGGATAGGGGTCCCATTCTGAGCGGAGATCGCTTTCCTCATTCGCTTCTGGAAGCTCTTCAACCGTGGTCTCGTCCGGATTGTGCCAGGGAACCTCGGGAGCGGACAATCTGGGGTCGACAGTGGGCGGTGGAGACCGGCTCCGAGTCCGCTGGGCGCTCAGTGTGCGAGGTCGGTCGGCGGAAGCGGCACGACGGGGCTCTGGTTCCAGGGGGGCTAGATTGTCACGTCGCTCGGAATTCTGTCTTTTGAATGTAGTGGACCTAGGAAGACCGACGCCGACCTTTCTTGAGAGTTTCCGAGTGAGGTTGTCATGAGGTTTGGTGTTGCCGGCATTGGCATTGTTTGGATCATTGATGCTGTTATTTTTGTTGTGATGATTGGGGAAGGAAGCGCCCCCCGCAGTGGACTGGGAAGAGTCTCGATCATCACGACCCAGCCATCTGCGCAAACCAAAGCGATGCCACATGCTCTGTTTGGGACGAGGAAGGTCGGCCTTTTCTGGATCCAGCAAAAGACCCAGAGACCTAGTCGGACTACAAGAACTTTCTGCGATCGAGATGGCCATACGGCACGGCACAATTGCTAGTCCGAGGTCGTGCAAGGAATGAGTAAGACACCCCAGTGGCTGGTATGGCGATGTCCATAAGAATCGAGACGGATTCGCCCTTGAGTCAGTAGTGTGGGATTATTTCGCTTGGACCTAGGGGAAAGGCAAAAAAAAAAAAAAATGAATAAATAAAATAAAAAATAAAAAAAAAATCTTATTCAAGGGGCGGCTCGAATTGGCACGGCCTGGTTGTGAAAATCAGGAAAAGAGACTATGGAATGAAGAAAAAGATTATAAAAATAGAGTAATTAAAGTCAAAAAAGGAAATGTAAATCGTTCAACGAGAAGTCGGTGAGTGACTGAAGTTGTTGTTGTTCGTCCAGGGTTTTGGCCTCTGTCCCACTAGTCGCACAATGTCGGATATCACTGATGAGGACAGTGAGCAGCAAAGTGATCAATGTTCATGGAAGGAGAGAGAGTAATTGATAGATAGATTGATAGATAGAATAGACAAATAGGATAGGTACAGATAGGAAAAAGGATGGTGGAAGAAGATGAGAATATTGTGACAATGCAATCAATTGATCGGCAAATGTTGACTGTTGCCCAGCTGCACGGGCTGGTTGGTGGTTATCGTCAGTGGTGGTTGGGTTTGGGTTGTTTTGAAGTTTGTTGGAGGGTTTAACGGTGCATTTGCAAAGCCTTCTGACTGGTTTTAAGGGTCAAGGTCACTACGATAAGTGCATTAGGTTAATATTCAAGGCTGTCGGTACCTAACGGGAGGAGTGAGAGCACTAGTAGTACGACTGGTTACTCGACTTACTACACCGCCTGCAAGACCACCCCCCATCACCATCTTAACAAGATGGGATGACAACAAGAATAAATAAATAAATAAATTTTGGTATTGAAAATTAAAATATAAAGATTAATTCAATATTAAAAACAAAAGCCAAAAAGGGGTGGGGGGAGGAGTGAATTACTTATGGAAAACCCAATGGAAAATTCGTGGAAGAAATCTAATGCACAAATCAAAGGCCCTTACGTCCGATCGGATCCCCAAAGCGTCAATGAAAGACAAAACAAAAAGTGGAGATGCACTGCGGCCTGACAGTGCCTGAACCATCCCAGTCATCCTCTAGCAATGATGAGACCAATATTATTGACCGCTATCCACAAGGTATGCCATGTTGATTACTGTTTCAGTTTCTCCATACGTCATCATATGAGGAGAGTCTCTCATTAACCCGAGCATGGCGGCTCATCGAGTCTGTCTATCATAGCAGAGTCCCTTGAGGTTAGGGCCCAGACTACTACTAACCTTTTTCCTCGGTAATATCAGCCCTATCAAAGAGTCTCGTTTCAGTTCCACGCCCGAACGTTTGGAGTATAGATCATGATGCATATGATCACATTAGTGAGTATTAATTTACCATAAAATATTTAGTACGAAATTAGCACGAGAATCGATAGGAATAATAAATATCAACATATCAATCAACACAATCCACTACTGCAAATGCATAGCCCAGGTTCTTCTCGAAGTCCGGTTCCTGCTCACCAAATATTCGATCCACCCTATAGCTTCCCTCTATGAGGTGGTCCCAATGACCTTCGTCGATGAGATGGGTTCGCCTTTATTTAATTGTTGTCGTATGCTCTTCTCGACGAATACTCTCCATGGCTCCATCCCAACTAGCCGAGCCTGTCGCTCTAACCGCCAATATGGGTATAGAGGAGCGTTCACGGCCACGCTGTCAGGATAGAATAAAATTTTCACCCCATAAACAGTTCTATCTCACCAGATATCACCCCTCGGGGATAAAGATTGAGCCTACTAAGAGTCTTACTGTACATAGACTACTGACTAGTGACGAGTAGCAAATAGTGATAGTTTCCATTCGACATAAACTTTTTCAAAGTGATGCTCCCGTAGAACAACTCAACCCCTCGCAATGCATCCAATCATCTTCCTTCTAGCTCCCTCGACAACCAGTCTCCAGAGAGAACCCTCCCGATGGAGGTCACGTTCTTTCCTACAGATACAGGACAACTGTTGCATCAACGATGACACCTCGTTAGTTGTCTTTCATTTTCCCAATTTTTGTCTCATACCCCCTTGTGAGGATCGATGTTAATTAAACAAGCCTCGGGACACTTTGTGCACCTGCAATGGTCGTCTATCTGCGGCCGAGCTGCAATTCGATGCTCTCTCATCATCGACACTCACTTCTTCATAAGACCCTCGAATATATTCACAAGAATAGACCATTTTGACGCGGACCGGATGCTGATCGTAAAGGACAGGTAGTCAAGATACGCTGCGGAGAATACAGGGTCCCCCCAGCCCACGTTCTTCTTTGGGACTCCTGCATTGGGATGGCATCATTGGTCTTCATTCAGTTGTCGACACGCTGGGGACGTGTCCTCGGAGGGTTGTTCAAAAGATAAGCCCCAAATGTTGATTCGTTCCCCACCGACGGTTGTCTACTAAATACTATCCAACCGTACCGTTGAGGTTAATGGGCATGGCTTCCTTTCCCGTTCTAGTCGCTAGAGATCATCACCTGACATGCCAGTATATCTTTTGAACTGGACGTCAGACAACCGACACTAGCCGCAACTCAGCCTCAATGCTGTATAGCTGATGGTGGGTTGGAATGCGATGATGCGAGGCCTGAGTAAGATTTGCTGATTTTCATTCCACCCTGAAGAGAATTGGGTTAGCAGGATAATCCCACCACTGTCCAAGACACCTCAGACTCCATCCCCTTCCACCTGAGGTAGCCGTTCATCTCAAGATCTCTCAGATACATTACACCATACGATTCTGATATGATGTCAGATAAACGGGTCATTCGATCTACGCTATACCATTGTTACGCTGCCAGATGTCAGTGTTAGAACCCTGAAGAGTTAGCTGTGAAAGCAAAGTCAGCCAAACTTGAACTTTTGTCTCTGACTACTTCATTGGGCCAGATGTTACCCCGTACGTGGGTCGCCACCTTACTGGTGCGTCATATGCTGAGGAAAGATTTCTTAACAGGCGTTGTCTTCTCTACCAACATTCATTGTGATAGGAGTGCCCTGATCCACCGCAATTCCCCTTAGTTCAAATTCCAATGTGCCAGGAGCTTTGCAATAGACACCAGCAAGCCGGCCTGGTACGTATTAAGCCAAGAGATGCAGACCCTGGTTTGCTGAAAATTATCCGAGGTCTGCATTAGACGCAAAGGCAAGATTGCAGTCTTAAGTCTTGACTCCATCAGAAAAAGTTTCCGAGCACATGAGGCAGCAGAGCTACAATTATAATGAGTGGTGGCTTGAGTAAGCCCCTACACTCTAGCTCAGTCTACTTTCAAATAAAATCTACCTATTGGAGTTAGATTACTATTCAGGCTTGCTCAGATCTAGCATGCATCCTTGATACGTGCGAACAATGCAATAATCATGACGGCTAACAACTCCTCGCAGGCTGTTCATATCTCTCTCAATGTCGACAATATATACTACACCAGGATTCAACAAAGTAGGACCCCGCATTGAGCTTTACCTCTAGAGGCCACCACCTATTTAGCTTACGGAAAGCATCAAAGAGCAGAAACCATCTATGAAGTGCCAAATATCTACACCAGCAACCATTCCCTACCATGTCAAACGCTTCCTAATTCCGTCCAACAACCCAGCCACAGCGTATATCCAAAAGTAAGAAAAATAGAAAAAAGTAAACCACTCCAAAAACCAGCCCTGAGCGTATAATTATAGCACACAAAGTAGCCCATTGTAACACACACTCACTCACACACACACAATATCCCCGGCTACCCACTTCCCGTATTCCCGCTACACTCATCGGGTTGGCAACCCCCAGCACCAGATGACAACCAACACAACCACCCCAATAGACACTGACCCGGGGACTAACCCAATACCAACTGGTCCCCCCACCAGTCTGCCGAGTAACATAACAGCCTAGGGCCCAACCCGTAACAGCCCTGAGAAACCTTGAGATTTAGCCGACGGTCACGACATGAGTTTAGTTCCAGGTAAACGCATGCAATTTCCAGGCTTGTTAGCCTATAGATAAAGATTGCAGAGCTGACTGTCCGACGCGTTTGAGCGTTATATGGAACCCAACGGACCTAATTCCAAGAAATGTCAGGGCGAAAATACGACATAGACTCGACGACAGGTGTTCAGTAACAGGGTATGTACTATAGTTGTATACGTCGGCGACACCTAAGTCCAAGCTACACCGGTTCGGCCTTAGTGGGAGAGGGACCGGTGTTCTTACCATAGCTTATGTTTGGTCGGGACGTTTATGGATTTGGAGACGTATGTAAATGATGTGTGGTGGTCTTTTTCTAGGGCAAAGTTGGACATGTACCGTCAGGTAGATCTTGTCGCTGCTAAGTACATTTATAGAAGAATTGATTTCGGTCCTTATCTCTCTAGATACTCTCCTTGATCACAGCCGTGACAGGGTCTGGGAATTGGGCTTTCAGCCATATCTATTAGTAGCTTTCGGGATCATGAGGTGTTGCTACAGAACTTGAGCTGCAGCTGTTCCCTCGATTTCTCCTAATCGTCGCCTTGGCGCATTTAAATCAAAAGTCGAGCGAAGAGAATCATGACAATGGTGAAGGGGGAAAGTAATGATACAAATTAGGACACTGTTTAGTTTATTAGGAACTCGACTGGACTACAGTTACCAAGCAATCGTTTCCTGGTCCCGTGGGATGTGATCTTGCTGATTCTGTGATAGACGCTTCTTTTGACGTGATTGTTTCATACTATAATATCGTAGAAGAGAGATATATATACATAAACATACATACAAGAGATGATGGCATCCATTTCACCTTCTCAATCAGAGTGGAGTGGTCGTTTGGGGGTGACTTCTCTTCTATCATAGCCGTTTCACCGGGTATTGAATCCGAGGAAATCACTTCTATCGCATCCATGGCTGAGTCCCAACTCAGCTCAAATACAAATCTTTCAGTGACACATCAATGAAGCAAAAGCAAAAAATAAAAAGAGAGGGAAACTCCGACCATGCATTCCGCGATACAACGCCTGTACGTGACCAGAAAGAAAAAACACCAAGGTACCATGGCAAGCGTAGTATATACCAAATTAGATCAAGAGCATCAGGGAACTAATTCAGTCATCGTCCTCGCTGTCCTTAGTCGACTTGTCCTTGGACTTTTCCGCAAGCTCCTTCTGCCAGATGTGGTTCGCTGCGTCCTTGTCTAGACCGGTAAAGAGTAAGTCGAATACCTCCGAGTACCAGCTCACTGCATGGCCTTCAATGCCTTCTTTGATGTTCTGAACAACGGTTAGATCTTGAAGCCAGAGTTGAAACAGGAAACCAATTACTCACCTCAGGCAGCTCCAGCCAATCCGACGTGTTGTCGGCGGGGAAGATGATCTTTGTGGCACCAGCACGACGAGCAGCAACGGTCTTCTCACGCAATCCTCCGATACGTAAAACTTTGCCAGTCACCGTCAATTCTCCAGTCATAGCAATGGTCGGGTCGAGAGAGTGATTCAGCGCCAAGGATAGAAGGGATGATGCCATTGTAATACCAGCAGATGGACCTAATACTGTTAACAGGATGTATAGGGAATAACGCAAAAATGTGACTTACCATCCTTTGGCACGGCACCCTCCGGGCAATGCATGTGAAGCCTTGCCTTCTCGAAGAACTTATTCTCCGGGAACTGCTTAGCCAGCACCGACTTGGCGAAGGAGTACGCGATATGGGAAGACTCTTTCATCACATTTTGGAGATTGCCGGTGATTTCGATACCCGGTCGGGATTCGGAAGTCAAAGCGTTCTCCAAAATGGACTCAACATACAACGCCGCGCCTCCCATACTGGTCCAAGCAAGGCCCATTGTGACACCGGGTGGGAAGGTTTCATACAGCCTGTCGGACGTGAAAACCGGGGGTCCAACGTAATCAGTCAAGCTGTCCTTGCCGATGCTGAGCTGCACCCCTTCTGGGACTTTAAGGGCAACACGAGGTGTTTCAGTCGTTGCTTTCTCTGATTCGGTGGTGGCGTTAACAGAGTCAGCAGACTCGCTATCCTTCTTTGACTCCTCCTGTGCAGCCTTGCCCTCATCGGTTAGAGCCTTGTCCTCGGCGAGCACATCCTCTCCAAGATCACGCACGATCTTAAAAGCAGCCTTGCGGTATACTTTCTCGATCTGCTTCTTGAGATTTCGAACACCACTTTCACGGCAGTAAGACTTGATGAGTTCCTCAATTGCTTCCTCCTTCAGAGTAACATCGACGTCCTTCAGGCCCGTCAATTCCCTAGCAGCAGGAGCAAGGTAGCGCTGGGCAATAGCCATCTTCTCATCCGCAACATATCCGGAGAGCTCAATGAGCTCCATTCGATCGAGGAGAGGGCGGGGAATCGTATCAGTAACATTGGCCGTGCAAACGAAGAGAACCTTGGACAGATCCACTGGGACATCCATGTAGTGGTCCAAAAAGGAGGAGTTCTGCTCCGGGTCAAGAAGCTCGAGGAGTGCAGAAGACGGATCCCCTTGGTGGCCCCGCCCGATCTTGTCTATTTCGTCAATCAAGATTAAAGGGTTTTCGGTCTGACATTTCTTGAGGGCTTGGATGATGCGTCCCGGAAGGGCACCAACATAGGTTCTACGGTGCCCCTTGATTTCCGCAACATCCGTCAAGCCACCAACGGAAAAGCGGTAATACTGCCTGTTCAAGGCCCGAGCAATTGACTTTCCAATACTAGTCTTTCCAACACCAGGTGGTCCCACAAGGCAAAGAATCTTGCCTTCCACGGTTCCGCGAAGTTTTCCGACGGCGATGAACTCAAGAATACGGTCCTTGACATCCTTCAAGCCATAGTGGTCTTCATCTAAAACGGTCGTTGCGTTTTGGATACCAAAGTTCTCAACACTCTTCTGGCCCCACGGTATCTGTGTCAACCAGTCGAGGTAGTTGCGGGTGACATTGAATTCTGAAGCAGCCGGTTCCAGATGAGCCAGTTTATTAAGTTCCTCATCAAAGACCTTCTTGACAGCTTCTGGCATAGCAAGCTTCTCCGCCTTCTCTTTAAACTTTTCAACAAGCTTGTCTTTACCATCGGATTCAATACCTAACTCTCTCTTGATGCCCTTCATCTGCTCCATGAGCCAGTACTCACGTTGGCGCTTCTGAATCTTAGCCTCCACATCCTTGGAGATCTTTGACTGAAGTTGAGCGTTCATTAACTCCTTCTTCAGCACCACTAAAGCTTTAGGAAGTCTCTCCTCAATATTCATTATTTCAAGGACCTCTTGCATCTCATGCAGTTCTCCGGCAGAAACAGCAGCTGCAAAGTCAGCCAACTTAGATGGCTCGTCACTCAAGTTCCCAGGGAACTGGTCGGTGTAGAAGGCAGAGATCTGATCGCGGAACAGGGGATTCAGGCTGGCGATTTCCTTGCAGACATTGACAATCTCACTGGTCACTGCACGAATAATGGCGCTCTTCTTGTCATAGGGCTCCTCCGCCAGATTCTCTACGTTAACCAAGCTGACTGGATACTTTCGCAAAAACGATGTGGGCTCGTAGTGATCCTTGGGTGCGAGTTCCTGTGTTCCCTCCTCAAAGCTGGCTACAACGTCACCTTGTTTCTCAGACGGCTTGTCTTCTGTGGCAGAAGCCTTCGTCGATTCACTGGGTGGCAACAAGGACGAGAGCTTGATGCGTCGGTGAGGATAAAGCACAGCTGTCACGCCACTAGCTTCTCCGCGAAGAGGATAAGCAGCAGTGATCTGAGCGAACACTCCAACATCGTATACGTCATCAAGGTTTTCGATCACGTCTCCATCAGCGTTCTCATCCTTGAATAGGAAAGCTCCCACATAAGGCTGCCCACGCTTCATCATGTCCTGGATAGCCATTGCCACATTCGGATCTCGGATAGTAATAGCTTTGTAAAAGCCCGGGAATAACGGGCGCTTCGCGATGGGAATAGCCATAACCTGAGGATAGACTTCAGGAACAGAAGGCTTCTGCAAAGCCTTGTCACTGGAGCCCTTCTTGCCTTTCTTTCCACCATCTTCATTACCTCCGCTGCTTGCGCCACTAGGCTTGGAATCTGAGCCGCCACTGACAGGGATAGGGGACGGCTGCTCATTGGAATTTCCCCGGCCTTCAGCTACATTATTAGACTTCTTTCCATCATCCTCCTGCCCTCGTTGCTCCTTGTCCACTGTCTGCTTCTCTCTCCGTTTTGTAGATCCCGATGTCGGAGCTCCAGATTCTGTAGATGAGCCATGTTTCCCTGACTGATCGGCTACTCTGCGTCGAGATTCGGAAGTGCGTTCAACATCCTTATCCTCGTTCTTTTCCTGCTGTTCTTTATGGTCCGGATCTTCCTTGCCGTCTCCGGGTGGGGGTTTCTCTCTTCGGCGAATGGAGCTAGATGAGAAGCTGCGGGACGGAGGGAGAGCGCGGGAGAGGCGCGACGAAACTAGGATTGACCGGGCACTAGCATTGTATCTCGGCGAAGTGAGCAAAGGCCGGATAATCAATGGACGCGGTGTCTGGTGGAGCGCAGCTCTCCAGGGGAGGGACTGGCCGCGGAGCATGCTATAGTTGTAGCTGCGAATATGGGAGGACGAATTAGGGATATAGGGAGAATATAGTACAGAAAATAATACAATAATACAAAAACCCTCACTGCAAGATTAAAAAAGAAAGAGGGATACGGAGAGAAATGTGAGGTTTCGGGAGCAATGGTCAGACAGCAGCTTAGTTGAGGTAGAGTGATTGATTACCGAAGCAAGAAGCCTTTCATCATCATCGTCTCGGTACATTGTTTCTCCGGTCGGGAAACTTTTTCGAGCGGAACGACTCGAAGCTTCTAAGTTTCCCCATATCAGGAGGCGGCAAAACTCGGCTTAAAACACCCATTGGCGTGCTCTGGTTTTCCAGGTCAACACCATTGATTTTAAATCATCCCCCTCTCCTCCTGATCCAGTCTGTCCGTTGGGTTAATGCCCGTTCATTTCACATCATGAGCGCTACTTCCGCCGCAATGCCCAAGGCCGCGGCTATTCCCGCCCGTTTACTCCGAAGTACATCACGACAATATTCGAAGAGCCCGGCAACCAGCGTTCGGGCTTACCATGTCTCACCGACTTCATCAACTGACAAGCGGGTTCGATGCGGTGCAACTAATAAAAAGCAATCTGTGTTCTCCTCGTCAAGGGTAAGTTGTCTATAAACCATGTTCATCATCGAGTCATGACTGATTTCACTTCTGGTCTATATAGATCTTCCATACTACTGCCTCCCTTGCCGCGATTCCCGACCCATATAAAGTATTAGGAGTCGAGAAAAATGCATCCGCAGGCGATATTAAGAAGGCCTACTATGGAATGGCCAAAAAATACCACCCGGACACCAACAAGGAAGCAAATGCTAAGGAAAAGTTCGCGGAGGCCCAGTCAGCTTATGAGTTACTTTCCGATCCCAAGAAGCGTGAGAACTACGACCGGTTTGGCTCCGCAGCGTTCGACCAAAACGGTGGCTTCGATCCCAGCGCAGCCGGCGGTAATCCGTTTGCAGGTGCCGGTGGATTCCATGGATTTGGCGGTGGCTTTGGAGGTGGTTTTCCTGGTGGTTTTGGGGGAGCAGATATCAATTTTGAGGATCTCTTCGGTGCTTTCGCAGGCGGCGCACGTCGTGCCGGTCGAGGCCGACGGGGGCCGTTCCAAGAGATTTTGGTAGGTGAAGACATTGAAGTCCAAACCAACATCTCTTTTATGGAAGCCGCAAAGGGTACGACAAAAGATATTGTTATCACGCCTTTGACATCATGCGGTACATGTAGCGGTGATGGACTTAAGAAAGGCGCCAAACGCACCCAGTGCCGTCAATGCAACGGCTCTGGAACTCGTGTGCACTTTTTGCAGGGAGGCTTCCAGGTGGCAGCCACTTGTGATGCCTGTGGAGGTGCAGGCATGTCTGTCCCAAGGGGCTCGGAGTGTGGCTCCTGCAATGGCAACGGTGTGGTCAGAGGCAAAAAGACTGTACAGGTTGACATTCCAGGTGGTGTAGAGGATGGCATGCGCTTGCGAGTGAGCAACGAAGGAGATGCACCTCCCACCGGAACATCTGCCGCACCCGGAGCGCGCACACAACGAGGCGACCTGTACGTGTCCATTCGGGTCTCTCCTGACCATCGATTCAGCCGTTCCGGTTCCGATATTCTCTATACGGCTCAGATTCCCCTTACGACTGCTCTTTTGGGTGGTGAAGTAACCGTGCCGACCCTGGATGGTGAAGTTAAGATTAAAGTTGGCACGGGCACTGGTACCGGCGACAAGATCACACTGTCTGGAATGGGTATGAAGCGGCTTGGTAGCCGTACGAGTCGCTTCAGCCCTACTGGTGATCTCAAGGTCGAGTTCAAGGTTGCCATGCCAAAGTACCTGACAGGTAACCAGCGGACTATCCTGGAAGTTCTTGCCGATGAGATGGGTGACAAGACCGCCAAGCGAGTCATGGATGTTGGAAAGGATAGGTGAGTTGCGCAGGTTTTGGACAACATTGCCTGCCACTGGTACTGACGAAAATACAGCCCACCATCCGGAGGGGACGCTTCCACGGGAGACTCCAAAAATGAAGGATTTCTCAAATCCGCTTGGCACAAGCTCGTGAACAAGTGTGAGAACTCACCCGAAGAATCGAGCAAGAAGGAATCAGGCGACAGCAGCAAGAACAACGGCGAGAAGAAGTCGAACTGAAAGGAGTTCAAGTGACATACATAATCAAGGCTTCAATATACTTCCTTCAGGGTCATGTTATCACTACGTATTTGAATTTTTTTGTCGCAATATCATAGCGCTGGCGAGATAAGGGGTTTACCATTTACGAGAGTTGGGAAATTTTGTGTCTGCGTTCATTTCGATCGTTTGGGAGAAACGGTTGTGTGTCAATAGAGAGACGGGGGCTGTATGTATGTATGTATGTATGTTTGTATGTATAATTAGACCTTACGCACGAAAGACATTCTCTACTTCTTCTATATTATATGACGGGGGGTGCCATGGAAATCAGGCAAGGAAATTTATTTAAGTAACTAATTACTGGGGCGGTTATTCAGCCATATAGGCGCCTGAGGAGTCGATGGGCCACAGCGTCATTAAATTGTAAACTAAACCAAAGTCGTTGCCTTCCAACCTTCACCTTTAGTTTTCCAACCACCATCCTCTCCAACACGATTTGGTCTGTTGTCTCTTCCAATCTCATTTCATTTCATTTTTACGTATATTATCACCAGGTTCGGATATCTTCCCCCTTTCCCCGGTGTCCCCACTGATCTTAGCTAACGACCCTCAGCTACGTTCCGCTAACCTTGTTGAACCTCCTGCCTTCCTTACCCCACAGCTCTCCATTGCCGATAATTCTCCCCTCCTCTCTTTCACCGCGCAAGCCCACCCAGCTTTTCTTTCGCCCTCACACCTCCGGTTCGGCTCCGTTACTTTTTCTCCGTCTGTGGATGGGAGCTTCCCGCTCCTTCCGACCTACAAGATGGTTCAGTCGCCAATGATCTCATGTCCACTGAAGCAGACCAACGAAATTGATTGGATCCAACCACTCAAGGACTATATACGCCAGAGCTATGGTGAAGACCCGGAAAGATACGGCCAAGAATGCGCAACCCTCAACCGATTGCGCCAAGATATGAGAGGCGCGGGGAAGGATAGTGCGACAGGGCGCGACCTATTGTACCGGTATTATGGGCAGCTGGAGCTCCTGGATCTGAGGTTTCCTGTGGATGAGAATCACATAAAAATATCATTTACTTGGTACGTGTCTGGAATTTCTGATCGCCTTCTTCTTGTTACTCAGCCCCCTAACATAAGGTATCTCGTTATAGGTACGATGCATTCACACACAAGCCGACCTCTCAATACTCCCTAGCTTTCGAGAAGGCCTCAATAATTTTTAACATATCCGCCGTCCTGTCCTGCCATGCTGCTGATCAGAACCGGGCGGAGGATTCGGGCTTGAAAACCGCCTATCACTCATTCCAGGCGGCCGCGGGAATGTTCACCTATATCAATGAGAACTTTCTACACGCACCGTCGACCGACCTGAACCGAGAGACTGTTAAGACTCTGATCAATATCACCCTAGCCCAGGGTCAAGAGGTCTTCCTCGAGAAACAAGTGGCCGACCACAAAAAAGTCGGCTTCCTTGCAAAACTCGCCAGTCAAGCAGCTTATCTATATTCACAGGCCGTTGAGGGGATGCAGGAGTATGCGAAGGGCGTCTTTGAGAAGGTCTGGGTGGTTGTGGTTCAGGCTAAAGCGGCGCATATGGCTTCGATGGCTTCTTATTACCAAGCCCTGGCTGACAGTGAGAGCGGATCGCATGGAGTGGCCATTGCCAGGCTTCAGCTAGCCGAGAAGAACTCAACTGCTGCATTGAGTTGGGCCAAGTCCTTCCCATCATCCGTACCTCCCAATTCAAACCTGAGCGCTGAGTCGGGGTCTTATCTGTTGGACATCGTCAAATATCACCTTGCAACTGTACAGGCTAAGCTCTTGACATTCACCAAGGACAATGATTTTATCTACCACCAACCAGTTCCAAACGAAGCAGGCCTGTCGGCGGTTGCAAAGCTGCCTGCGGCAAAGGCCATCCCAGTCAGCGAGCTCTATCAGGGACAGGATATCCAGCGGATCATCGGGCCGGATATTTTTCAGAAACTCGTACCTATGTCCGTCACGGAGACAGCCAGTCTCTATGACGAGGAAAAAGCTAAGTTGATTCGGGCGGAAGCGGAGAAAGTTGAGACAGCAAATGGGGAAATGGCCGCGAGTCTGGACTATCTGAAGTTACCTGGAAGCTTGAACATTCTCAAAGGCGGAATGGACCAGGAGATGACAGTTGACGATGAGTTCCGACGATGGTGCCAAGATCTTGCGGGACATCAATCTTTCACCAAAGCTTTTGACGGTCTGCAGGAGCGCAAATCAGAAGTTCTGAGCCAGCTGGATCAATGCGCTAAGCAACTTGACCTGGAGGAAAGTGTTTGCGAAAAGATGCGCTCTAAGTACGGGCCTGACTGGAGTCAGCAGCCTAGTGCAAGGCTGAATACTACACTACGCGGCGATATACGCACGTATCGGGACACTGTCAATGAAGCCAGTGCCAGCGATTCTCAACTCCTCTCTACGTTCCGACAGTATGAGTCGGACTTTGATGAGATGCGATCTGCAGGAGAAACAGACGAAGCCGATGTACTGTTCCAGCGAGCTATGATCAAGGCCGGGTCTAAGCTTGGCAAGGGCAAGAATGGTCATGGTAGCCCGTACGCACCAACATCGGAAGGAAGCCTGATAGACGATGTTTACGACGAAGGAGGACTTTCAGTAGCAGAACAGATTTCCATGGTTGAGTCCATTCTAAAGAAATTGAACCTGCTCAAGCGAGAACGGTCCCAGGTCCTGAAAGACCTGAAAGAGAAGGTATGTATATGCCCAGAAGATTCAATCCTCTCCCAGGCTAATATTCTAGTTATAGGTTCATACTGATGACATTTCAAATGTACTCATACTGAACAAGAAGTCCATTGCTGGGCAGGAGGCGCAGCTTTTCGAAGCTGAATTGGAAAAGTTCCGCCCTCACCAAAACAGGTTGCTTCAGGCCAACCATAAGCAAGCCTCATTAATGAAAGAGCTCACTAAAATCTATGGCGACTTGCTCCAGGACAAGCGCGTGCGAGCCGAACAGTCGAAATATGAAACTATAACTCGTCAAAGAAATACAGTCATGGCGCGGTATAAAAAGGTATACGATGCGTTCAATGGCCTGCTGTCGGGCGTTAGGCAAGCACAGACTTTTTACACGGAAATGGGCGACACAGTGGAGAGCTTGCGGAAGAATGTGGAAACTTTCATCAACAATCGGAGGTCGGAAGGCGCTCAGCTTTTAGGACAAATCGAACGCGAGAAGGCGAGTAGTGCGACAGACCAGGAGGATCGCGAACGGGAAAAGCTCAGGCAGTTGATGGAGCGTCTTTCCACAGAGCCTAAGCCGTCTTCTTCCTCATCTTCAGGAGTGCCGGCGAAGGTGAAGTCTCCTCCACCTCCTGTCCAAACACCCAGCTATCCGGGACCTGGCATATCTTCCCCGAAGATGTCGCCGCGTTATCCGCCTGTCACAGCACAGTCTCATGGACCGCCTCTCTCTCACTCCCCAGCACCTTATAATCAATACGCAAACTCTGGAGCCGGCGTCTCATACGTGCCGGGCCAACCCTTCCAACAAGGGGCGGCAGCACCGCTAACTGAGAGTTATAACCCCATGGCCTATCCATTCCCCGCCTCCGCCTCGCCTCCTCCAACCCAACAATACTTTTCGTCAACACCCACCCCATACAGCGGCTATTCCAATCCAACTCCACCCACTGCACCCTCGCAATTTATGCCCCAGGGGTACGTTCCGCCTCCTCCGCCACCGCGTCCCCAGCAAACCACGTATCCCCCATCCACCGGACCCTTTCCCTCTGGCCCTGGCGGGTACGCTCAAAGCAGGCCGTACGGCTCGAGTCAGCATCACAAAGTGCAGTCACAATCTTCACAGTCGCAAGGCCAGCCCGCACCCCCGTCAGCTGATCCTTGGGCTGGTCTCAATGCATGGAAATAATTGGTTGCCCATGCGACAGCTGGATTATGAAGTATGATAGACTTATGGACCGGAAATTTGCATTCAGGCGTTATGTCTACTCTTTTTCGCTGATTATATGCGCTAATGCTGTTTGTTTCCCTTTTGTGCTTATTTTATCTTCGCGGGGCTCTTGCCCTGCGAGATATAGTTAAGTCTTGAAGCCCAATGTATGCATATATATACATAAATCATGATGAGGAAAATGCAGACATGTACTGGATTGAAATGATGTGATCATAAGCAACGAACATCCTCCATTATATGCTAACATGAGAGGCCAAACTCAACACACCTTGATAAAAGTACAGTAAAACTCAGAACTCCATTATTATACATGATACTGTACATGACATAGTAGATTAGAGACCTCAGCCCAGATATACGGAGTACCCTAACACCCAAACAGCAATATTAGTAGACCTGAGCAAACATCTGCCGAATCCAAGATATTCAAAAATATCAGTTAAGTCTTGGGGCTGTATCCTCTTTCGTAAGTCCGAGAAGAGAATTTCTGTATCAAAAAAGAATAATCATAAGAATAAATTAAGTAGGACCAGAAAAATAAAATCTGCGCCAATGGGTATCATAGAAGAGGGGATCAGTGCGAATGGTGGCAGAAGACTCCGAAATCGTAGTATATCTTGTGCAGAGTGACGTAGGCAGCGATCGCCGGAAGACCCAAAAAAAAAGGTGGTCCCCGGACAGGTGTATGAGAAATCCCAACAAAACACCGATGTATCAACCAATATAATGAAAGAAAAACAAAAAATGAGTATACGCGAAGAACAGAACGACTAGGGTTGAAACCTCAGACGAAACTGTCTCCCTCTGCCTTCTTCGCGAACTTTGTACAAAAACCGCGCAATGGCCTCTTGCTCCGCGAGGCCGGCGCTATTGAAATGTTTGCGGACGGTGAATGCGAGGTGATTTTTGCTCACGCGGTCTTGACCAATGATATGGTTTAGGGCATTCTTTCCTTCAATCGCGCTTTTATTCTTAGGATTGTGTCCCGACGGGCCTTTTGTGCCATTGGCCCTGCTGGCGATGTGGGGGTGATGTGCTTTTTTGGTGTTGGTCTGAGAGCCGTTTGTGTTCTGGCTTTGGCGGAGGTGAGCCCGTTGGGCAGCGATGGAGGTAGGGGATAGGAGGCCGATTCCTTTGGAGAGGAGGAGCTGGGAGTACTCGGTGGGATATGCGCTGGGTGAGGGTATCTTGTAGGCGTGTCGGTAGGAGTGGAGGAATTCGAGAGGCATCTCAGACCAGTGGATCTGGGACACGATTGGATGTTAGCAATTTTTTTTTTAAAAAAACAAGACAAAATGAATTATACAAATAAACAGCACAAGAGTACTATATAGTATAGAAGAGAGATACACAGAGGTTATTTCATGTATTTGGCGGTAGAATAACTTACTTTGGGCTGATTGTCTGACTGATCGCCATCTCCCATAGGGGCGCTGGTGACATTGGCGACACTGGCGGAAACCTTGACATTGGAGGCAGAATTCACCGCCGCAGAGCTGTTTGCTGCCTTGCGACCTTTACCAGTGCCAGTCTTATGCTCTCTTGTGGTACTAGAGCCTTCGGATCGAGAGTCATCGTGAACGGCTGTCGCACGCTGCCGCGGGGGAGCCATGGTGACAGCAGAAGGACACAAGAACGGACGAACGAGGGAAGGGGAAAGAGAGCCGAGCCGTTCGAAGGCCCGTGAAAGAAGGGCAGGTCCTATTAGAGGGTCCTAGTCACAACTGTCGATATAGTTGAGCAGTATCCAAGAAACGTTCATTGTAGGCTACTAGTGAAGCATGAAAAAGAAGAACTTTTGGAGAACTATCGGGAAAGCGGGCAGACGCGGCAGAATCGTCGAGGCGCGACGACATCATTTCTGCTTTCGGTAATATTGCCGAATGTATAGCCGTACAGCGGCAGTTGAGAAGAACTGAACTGTTCTATGGGAAACAACTCCAGCGCCCAAGATACTTTGTTATATACAACCTGATCAGTGTATCTGCTTGGTATAACTCCTCCAAAGCACTCAAAGAAGCTGCGAGTTGATTGGGAAGTGATTCACGACTAGCAACACTGGGTAGCCGACCCTGCTAGATAAATATATTGATCTGATGATGATTCAGTATTGATTATAAACCGCCATCTGGTCATTGACTCTGTTGCAAAGGTGACAACAGTTGTACAGGACCCGGAGAAAGATACCATTCTACTCAATTAGCGGGTCAGGCCATGCCCAACCATATAGCCAGTCTCGTTCCTCAATGGCTCACCATCGTGTGTGGGTGGGATAGTATACAGAAGAGGCCTTCCCATGGTTTCTGTGGGATCAATGGGCGCTAAGATTGCACGGCGTGGTTCAATTCGAATGAAATCCCCAACCCAATCAGATTGGACGTACGGTTACTTGATGTGCACCAGAGCTGCTTCGATATATATGAAGGCACAAAATGGCATCACGATGTAGGCCTATGACCCCTAGTTACTGATGGCTTCTCCACCTCCCATCAGATTGTATACCCAGACAATTGCATAAGTAATGCACACTGTCCATTCAGAGCCAGCATGTATAGGGCTAGGAGCCATAGCGCATACAGCAAGCCGAAGCGGCAGTAGTTAAGCGTAGCTGTACGTCGATATCAGACCAAATGTTATGGATAGCTGATACGCTAAATTCTATCACAAGTTCTTCTCAATGCCGAGGAGTAGCAAGAGATGATACTTCACTACCGAGACCTGAGTCGTTGAGGGCATTTGCTTTCACGTGTCTTGACCAAGGCATGTGATTGAAGTGGTGGCCTTCTCGTGCCCTAATAGACAGGGATTAGTTTAGGTCTCTGAAATAGTTCTATGAATTTACCCCAACAATCAGATATGATGGGTCAGAGAAAAAAAAAAATCCCAAAAACAGATCATTGGAAATGTAACGCTAAACGCAGATAACCATAAATCAACTTTTTCTAGCGTCAATGGAGAAGAAAAAATTTTCTACCCCATTCTCACCGCTATCCAACCGCAACGGGTCCTTAAGAACGTCGAGACGGTAAAGAAGCAAGTGAAAAAAAGGTCCGCAGAGGAAAACTTTAGTACCCATTAAAAAACCGGACAGTGTCCATGGTGAAATGCCGAGGAATAATGGCATAGTGGGCAGCCTCACTGATTGATAATCTATATGGTAATGGAATAGAAAAGGGAAAGGAAAAAAGTTACAAGATTACCCAAAAGAGCAAACCCAACCACTGGGATAAATCTCAGGTCAAACCAGGAAGAGGAAGAGCGCCGTGTCCAGTCATTCGGCCTCAGACCACCACGGGACTCGGGACGGACTCGGCAGAGGACTAAGGAGGAATTGAGTCGGGTCGGACATGCCGAGGGAAAATTGCCTCAGCGGATGTATGAAAAAGCCTTACGACCGGAAGTCCGTTTAGTATGGAGTGATTGGGGGACGGGTAGTGTGGTAAAAAAAAAATTCCCCTGACACGGAGCACCTACTCAGTACTGGACTAGTGTGGATGAGGGGGAAAAGAACTTTCACCGAGGAACCCTTTGGGGTCTGGAGAGGAGGGGAAAAATTTCTTTAGTGACAGTGGCCAGCGGTCTATTAGGGTCCTTAGGTAAGGAAATTTCTCCGCAATTCGCTGATAAAAACTCCCTTTCGCAAGAGTGCCCCAGAGGGAAGAAAGTCCGGCATTCCCCCGAAATCACCCGATGGACCGTATCACTCTTGCAGGTATTTTGCCTCCGGCTCTTGTTCGTGCAAGAGGTTCTGGACTGTCAATTCTTTTTTTTTTTTTTTTTTTTTTTTTTTTTTTTCTTTTTTCTATTTCTTCAAGTTTCAGTCGGCCCCTCGTTAATCAACATCTTAAACTTCACTAGGTGGCGTACACTGAATGACAATTGTACATGAAAGCTAATAACACAAACCTATTGCTTGATGGCACCTCTTGTCTTCCTGATCTGAATATCTGCTAGTACCGAAGCCTACCAGGCTGAGATCCAATCAGCTCAGTCAACCATC